GAGGACCCCCAGATTGCGCACCCTCTCCGAGGGGGCCAGAATTTCGCCCCCTATAGTCAGCGATGGAGTCAGCTGACTATGCCGAGGCGCCGGCAGCCACAGCCACTCGGTCTTGGAAGGGTTGAGCCTGAGTCTGTTCCTCCCCATCCAGACCCTTACGGCCTCCAGGCAACGGGTCATCACGTCAAGGGCATCGTTGTTGGAGTTGCCTTTAAAATCCACAAGCTGCTTAGTAGCCAATGCAGTATAGGTACTCCTTGACTTACAACCGTTCATTTAGTGATTGTTCAAAGTTACAGCAGCATTGAAAAAACTGACACATGATTATTGTTCACACAATATGACTATTGCAGCATCCTCATGGTTGCATGATCAAAATTCATGTGCTTGGCAGCTGGTTCACATTTTTTGAGAGCTGCAGTGTCCCAGGGTCTTGTGATCACCTTTTGCAACCTTCTGACAAGCAAACTCAATGGGGAAGCCAGATTCATTTAACAGCTGATTCACTTAATAACTGTGGCGAGAAATGGGGCATTTAATAACTGTCTTGCTCAGCAACAGAAATTTTGGGCTCAATTGTGGTCATAGGTCGAGTGTTACCTATAATGTGGTCAACAATAAAGGATTATGCCATGTCTATATAAATACCCAGGCTCTGTAAGCTGGAGTGGTTACCATTTGGCTTTTAGGCACAATTCAAAGTGCTGATGGTCACTTTTAGAGTCTTTTACAATCATGGCCAATAACCCTAAAAGGTTATTTGGGGATGACCTATGTCTCCTGATTTCTCTTTATCTGGGTAAGATTCGGCAGAATTGTCTCTCTCGTTGTCCAGCTGTATAATCTAATAGGACTCAGGAGGCAGCCCTTCAGTGTCCTAGCACTTGCCTTCTGGAACAGCATCACCCCCCAAAATTTGTATGCTCTCTCCCTCCCCCCCCCATACTGCCCTTTAAAAGAGCAATAAAACCACAGGTCCTTCTCCAGGACTTGAGTTAAATGACTGAGGGTCCCTGTTGTCTATTTCCTCTGTGTGGGTATAGGAGAGTTGGTTGTTGTTCCCTCCACATGACACTACTGCTGGGGTTTTATTTTGATTTTTACTGTTTTATATGTGAAGTGATCTAGAATAATTAGAGTTGAGCTGCCTGAAAAATAAATGAATGAATAAATTCTACACAGCGATGGAATTTTTCTTTAGGTGGCAGTCTGACATCTCTAGCTAACCAGAAGTCCACCTAGGAATTCCAGAGCCTCTTGGCTTTGACTGAAACATTGAAACATCCTTGCAGAAGAAAATGACAGCAAATTATTTCCATAATACGGATGGATGCGTTCATCAGGAGTCAAGCTCCGCTTCTCATTGACCCACTACAAGCCCATGGAATTTGGGCTTATATCATGAAGCCATAGATAACACAATTTTTTTTCTTTTTGTGTGTGTGTGTGTGAGCACTATAATCTGTTGTTCTTTTATCACTAACAGTTGGCTAACATTTTCTACATCCAGGTGCCATTTGGGGCAGGACTGCTGTAGAAATGAAACTTTACTTGACGCTTTCCAATCATTTATTAGGTTTTCTGTTCCAAGGTTTATATGTTGCCAAGAATGCAGTTGCTGTGTGATACAGTCTCTATCTGGAAGTCTGTGATATTAGGTAACATTTGAGGCGTTTCGCTTCCGTTGCCATAGCCCTTGGTGAATTATGCCGTTGGATCCCTTGTAAATTATGGAAGGAGAAAAATGCAAGTGAATATTCAGAAATTCCTACGTGTAGATCAGGATGTGAATCAGATATTCAGTTACACGTTGCAATCATCCCTTTTTTTAAAAAAGCCTCTAAATGTGACAGGCAGAGATGGAAGTAAAGCAACCAGTGTGGCCTTTTTTGCAGTCTTTGAATGCCTTTTTCTTTTCACTTTGTTTTAATTGCTCCCTTGGTGCAGGGCTGCCGCACAAGGCCTTTCTCTTAGCTTAATGGAACGGCTGATTCAGAAATACGGGGACCGTGTTGTGAAGATGCTCACTGTGCAGTACCGAATGCACCAAGCCATAATGCAATGGGCTTCCACTGAGATGTATGATGGTCGCCTCTCAGCTCACTGTTCTGTCGCACAACATTTACTGAAGTAAGTGATCTATAGCTTACTTGCTTTCTTTTTTTCTGCCCAAATGTTATATCGATGCTGCCTTTTAATATTTAAAACTAATGCAGACTTCTCCTGACTGCACTAAACCTTTTCCTCTAGCACTGTTCTAACAAACAGCCTTTTGCCCCATTTTCAACTGGCAAATAGCTGATTTCTGCACTGAAGGTTACAGCATGCAAGTTTTGTTCAATAGCTGAAGGCATGTTGTAGGCTTGAAATTGTTGTCACTGTTGGCCCACCAGCTGTCATGCTGTTAGACTTGCTGACAACCCTTCCAGCAAATTCCAACTTTTATTGAAACTTAGAAGAGAATGTTAGCTCCCTGTTTCTCTTCTTTGCCTTGACTCTTCCTTCTTTCCTTCTCTGGGATCAATTTGGGATATCCTAAAATAAACAAAACTTCTACCTAGAAAGGGAAGGGAGTGACATATCACCCTGTTTAAAAGAGAAGTAGTTTTAACTCTGACACTGTCTGACTGTTGGTTGACAGGGGAGTTTGCCTGTTCATTACAGTAATATTCCTGACTCATTCATTCATTCATTTATTCATTTGAGTCAAATCATCACTTAAACAACAAGAACAACAGAGATGCCAGGGTTCACGTCTATATGGGGTTTGGGCCCTAGGCATGTCTTGAAGGAGAGGTCCCCACTTTGGGACCTCACTTAACTTCTAAAATTTAAGCATTCAAAGTTTATTTATAGTCCAAGAGCAAACACAAGAAAAAAGAACATATTATAAAAGAATTTTTAAAATTGCAAGAAAATCCTGAGACAATACCCAGTAATTAATAACATGATGGAGGAACCAGATGGTTTCTAAGAGTTACAGCTATTGAAAGAAATTTTGAAACTTTCTTATAGATTTCTGAAGAGGGGTCACCAAAAGAAGGTTCATGGTCTCCTGATCACAGTGGCAATGCGACCAGGAAATATTAAGCTCTATCATCATTGGGGATACAGCCGACATTTTACTAGAAAATGTGAAACAGATTCTACCCCCATGTCTGAAAATAATTATGGCTTTCATGTGGAAAACGTATATATCTGCCAGGTTTTGGTCTAATAAATAATTCCCAGGCTGTTGTAATAGTCTCCTATGAGGGACATATATAATATTGAAGAAATATCTAGGGCAGTGATGGCGAACCTTTTAGAGACCGAGTGCCCAAAAACTGGCCCCGGCCCCGCTCCACCTCCCTACTCCGCCCCCACTCTGCCCCGCCCACAGGACCACTCACCGCCTCCAGGGCCCGTCGCAAATCGCCAAGGGAGCCCAGCAGCGCTATAGCGGCCACACCCTCTGCCCGTGTCCTGCAGGATCGACTGCATGATGGGGTGTGAGGGCAGAGTCTTGTCTATGCTGCCTGGCTGCCATGTCCTTGGCTGCGCTGCTCCATGTGGGCCACGCTCGAGGGCGACTCTCCTTCAGGGGGGCTGATGGAGAGGAGGGGGTCACGGGGGGGAGGCAAGGCTGGGGCAACGGCACGTGTGCCCACCCGTGCCATAGGTTCGCCACCACTGATCTAGGGTTAGTCCAGAGAAGAGAGATAATTGTGTTGTCACTAATATGCCGTCTTAGGGTGGCAGAGAACCTATCTAGCATGGTGAGATGGACAAAGCAATTTCCTTCCTAGGATTCCTTCAGCCAGATCCTAGGACAACAAAATTGAGCCCCAAGAGAAATGCAGCTACGTTCCAGTCAAATTGCAGCATAAGAAATTGAACAAGGGACTTGTAATAAGATTTTTTAAAAGTTTGACTTAAATTGCTTTTAAGCTAGAGGACTCCTTATAGATACACAGCTGAGCACCATATAACATCATGCTCAGAACTTTAATTTAAAATAGTTTAATAGCTTCTGAAAGATCATTATTTCCAGATCTGCAAATTTAGTGATTGCAAGAGATGCTTCTTGGATTCTTGCTAGTAGCTTTCTTGCGTGAATAGATTTGCAAGTAGAAGATTGAAAATAGACATCTAGATACTTAAAGGATTTAACCTGCTTGATAAGTTTGCTGCTAATCATCCAATTAGAGCTTTAAAGTGTTTCCCAGAGGATACCAATACCTTTGTTTTAGAATAATTTATTTTGAGGCATTTTCTGGAGCAGTAAAGCAATAGAGCTTTAAGATATCTTTGAGAGTCTATTTGGTTTAGAGAGTAGGACTTCATCTTCACCATAAAGAAGAATAGAGATGGGGTAGTGGGAAAGACAGGGTGGGTGTAATTCTAACTTAGCAAACTCTTAACACTACTGTTAATGTAAAAAATGAACAGTAGTGAGGAAGAATATAGTGTTGTTTAACACTTTGCAAGTAGAGTCACATTTAATTAAGTCATCAGCAATATTGCCCTTAACTTGAATAGTAATGCCATGATGCAATAGCATTATTAGTTTAAGAAGAGGGTGTTGTGGTAGCTAATTTCTTCAGAGTTTTTCTCATGGTATAGAGTCAAAGGCTTCCCTCAAATCTATGAGGGCTACATAGAGGGCATCCTTAGATTGATTATCATTACAGTATTTCTCAGCTAAATGAAGTAAAATGATACATTGGTTCATGGCTGTGTGATCAGACATTTTCAGAGGACATCCAATCCTAGAGTTTTTAAAATTTAAAAATGGAAACTGAATAAGAGAATAGAAGAGCTAGGAAACAAAGATAAACTGTGAAGCTATATTTGCATTTTTTTCAGTTACAAATTTAACTATAATCCAAAACATGTAGCTTGTGTATGTGTCTATTTGTTAAGAAAATAATAAATTACACCAATATTTAGAAAGACCAAGATTGAAGAAGTTTTAGAATATGGCACTTCATTGTATGTTGTAAAAATCCATTTCCTCATTTGTTAGAAACAGTGAATTTTCTCTGCCATGAACCAATGTATCATTTACAGTTGTATAAATAGGGATCGGCATATGTATTTCACTTTATACCTCCTAAAATATAAAACTAGGTCACACAAGGAAAGGTTTGGTTTTTAAAAACAAAAATAGATACAATTCAGGGAACATTTTCATCCAGATAGTGTGGAAAGGAAATTATATCAGGGATTTAAATCACTAAGAAAATAATTTCAGGACATAATATTGATGGCCAGTGAAGTGAAATACTTTCTAAAGTCTGTGAAAAAAATTGTCAACTATAAAAATGAGTTGCTGCTTTGAGAGGAGGAAGATGTTTGTGTCACAATTAGGGTCTGATGCTCCTGATAGATGAAAGCTCCATAAATTTTTGCTGACTTCGCTAAGCTCTATGAAAGTCTCTTGACCTGAAATTTTCTGATCCCCTCTTTCTAATCACCAGGTTATAAGAAAATACAAGTTGGGAGATAAAAAGACTTTGGCAAAACTACTCAAATTTTACAAGCTGTACAGAGGGGGTTACAAGCAGTGTTATTAAATCACACTCTGCCCTCCCCCCCAACAATGTGCTTGGTTTTTACCTTACTGTGTTCAAAGAAGCATGCACAATTGCAGTTTTAATAGCCATTTCAGTATTAAGGAAAAGTATAAATAATTCCAACTAGACTCGGCAGGATGTTAGGTACATTATTCTGAAATGTGTACCATCATAGTCCATAAGCGTTTTCCCAGCAGAATTTTGCAGAACACTTAACACTGGCTCAATTGCATCTTTGTTTTCAGCTTTTCAAATACATGGGGAAGTGCATTATTTGCCTTTCTTCATCCTTTTAGTCTGTTTGTACCCTTGTGAAAAATGAAAGGGCCTAATCTTATTGCAAAGATTTTTACAATTGTTGCATTCCTTTCATGCTGTTTTTTTGTGAGCTGCCATACCTACTAGTAATAAATTCTTATTATTATTATTATTATAATAATAGTAATAAATTCATTTAACACAGCAATAATAGAAAAATGCTATCCATTATTAAAAAGAATCTCAGCCATGATAACTGTTGGCTTAATGTCCACATTTAATTTGTGTTTTGAGTTGTAAAGAATACATTTTGGGGTTTAAACAGTGCAAAGAAGTCTTAGATAGTGACAGAGAGGCCAATATTTATGTACATTCTCCACAGATTAAATTTGAAAACTTGTCCCTATGAATACTCCAAAAGCCTGCAAGTCACATACTAACCAAATAGATCATGAATGTTGGAATTCTAAATGTTTCCCGCCAAAGCTCTGAATGTCGATTCAGAGCTTTGGTGGATAAATATATTCCTGTTCAAAATCCTGACTCAAAATTAGATTAGCAGATTAAAAACACCCCACGAGATGCCTTTTTTTCTGGAAAGCTGTTTCCTATAACCTCCAGTTTTGTGGTACTATTTTTATTACTTTAAAAAAAAATGAAAAGTGGAGCTACTTAGTAGAATACGTATAGGTTTAGATCAGATTTTGTGCTTTAGGACAAATCGTGCACCAGTTAATTGCAATAGCTTAACTTGAGGTGCTAACATAAATTCTGATTTATATTTAATCTGCTATTAATACAAAGAAAAATTGTTGTTGTGGAAGGCTAATAAAATGAGCTTCCTTTTCTGGGAAGCTAGTGTGACCTTTGAGTTTCTGAAAGTAATTTGCCATTAGCTAGCCCAGGGGTAGGCGACCTTGGCTCTTTGCTGGCTCAGGAATTCTGGGAGTTGAAGTCCACGAGTCATAAAAGAGCCAAGGTTGCCTACCCCTGAGCTAGCCCAATCTTTGGAATACTTTAAGGCTTTATTTGGGTGGTTGCTGTCTCTGACCACCAAGATGTGAAAGCTCAGATTACTTTAAAAAGTTCAAGTCTCAGTAAATTGGAGATGTGCTGAGAATTCAGTTTTTGCTACAGACATACAGAAATACCATATGTTATTCTTAACATGGAAAATTAATGATTCCACACTGTCAGGAACTGCTAGTTTATGTTACTCTGGAGTGGAGGGAACTTGGTTATAAAAAAATATTAAGTTGTTTCTTTGGGAATGTCGAACCCCAGAATCAAGAGAAGGCAAAAAGAAAAACTGCTCTTATTGATGATGCATTCATCTTAATTTTTCTCACAACCCAGCACTGTTTGCATAAATAGACAAAACCCCTGATCACACAATGTTGTATCTTTCTTTTTAAATTAGCATTTTTAACCAATTCTCCTTTGCATTCCTTAATAACTGCTGATGGTAAAGTGAGAATTGGTTTGCTGTCCCAGTAGCTTTAATCTCATAAAAATTGCATCTAAATGTTGAAGGGAGAGTTATTTGATATAAGAATCTTTTGGCATGATTTTCTCTGCAGATGGAATTATTTTAAAAGAACAAAAATGGGGTTGAAAAAAAGAGTATAAGTAGAGAAGAACAAAAGCTTCAGTAACTTGCTGGCATTGTCTCTGTATATTGACCAATGTGTGAGAGACCAGCTCTGTACCTGAGACCTTGCAATAGGATAATGCAGAAATACTTGTGTTTTTTTAAAAAAAAATCAGTACAGTAATTGCTTACTTCTCCATCCAGAACAAAGAATTGGTCTTTGGACAAAATGCTATTAGGAACAACTTGCAAATGCAGTTTTGAACAAATTATGACCATTAAACTTAACATTCTAGTCAGAGATCTTCAAGAAGACTGCTTCAGCGCATATTCATGCTGACAAACCTCCATCCTTTTCGGTGGGTGGGAAGTTTGTTGTCATTTCCACTTTTAGCTTACAACTTTTTCTCTTATTATGTAGACTAACAGACTGTACTGAATAGTAACTAGAGTTTAAAATATGTTGACTTTAAGCTATGATTTCTGAAAGCACTTTGTTTGAACCAATACAATTAATTAATATTCATCACAGTTCCTGGGCAATCCAAAATTGTAACTTGGTTATTTAATACTTAAAAACATAATACTTTTAATACTTAATAACAGGAGCAACAGCTTCTTCATTTGGAGAAGGGGTTTGATACAACTCTAGTCCTTCATGTACCTATAGAGAATTTCTTCATAGCTATGACAGGGCAAGCCACATTTGTATTACTCCTGTTTATCTATATACTGGTAAGTATCAATATACTTCCAAGTGTCAGTTGCTTTGACATTATTGTACAAACGAAATATAATGCCAAGGGGCAGAAGGAGCTGGGCTATGTAGCTTGCAGGTTTGATGGGAACTGGGTCCCATGGAGTCACTGCTGGGAGGGAAGGTAAACCTCTCTTTTACATCTTTGTATTCTCATTTGCACTCCCCACAATTATATCTGATCATCTGGTATTATGATCTTATATTCTGAGTCCTTTCTTGTCAATAACTTCTGTACATAGCCAATTTTTTAAAAAATGAATTACATTCTCATACTTCAAATCATATTCATCCTTGAATCCCTTAAAATTATTGTCATGTGTTTGTTCAGAAATTAGGTATACAAGGAACAACTGTCGTTCTGTAACATTGATGATTAATATGGCTCTTTTAAGTACAAACAACATCTTTTTACGGTTATTAGACCCACAGAGTGTATCTTTTTCTAATATCACAGCTGTCACGTTACTGTCTCCAGCAATAAATCAAAGCACACTTCTTTTGCCTCTGAGCAGAGGAAGCAGTTGTATTCTGTGAAAGCTTTCGTCTATAATTTTATTCTTTGCTTTCATTGAAAATAATTTTTAACTGCTCTATTCTGTAATTTGCTTGATATATGCGTTACTAGAAGCAATGCTGCTGTTAAACAGGAACACCGTATGTGCTAATTTATGTTCCCATCAGGCTGCATGTATTGTTTGTTTCCACATAATAACTAAGAATAGGTTCCAAGGTCTCATAGTTGCAGAGAGAGAATAAAATGAGCTTACAGCTTCTTGCAAAAATAATTTGTGTAATTCGTTTTAATAACTTGACAGAGACTTGCCAGGAGTGGCCCCCACAGAAGAGACCAGTATCCCATTGCTGCTTATAGATACGGCTGATTGTGGCTTATTTGAACTTGAAGTGGAAGAAGAACAGTCTAGAGGAAACCCAGGTACCATCATTTACTCTGCTTCATGATTTTTGTTTCCTATGTGGCACCTTTTTTTTCAAAAACTGTCCCTTCAGTTTATATTACCTGTGTAGTGGTTTTGCAATACCAGCTGATGCTAGGTAAAAAAGTTTCCTTCTACCAGAAAAGTATTATAAAATTTGAGCTATTGACTGAAATACTATATGCACAATCACAGGTACAACTCTTGTGGAAATAATTGAATATATCAGGAAATTTCTTGCATGTCATGCTTGAATTACATATATTAAATCCTTAGGCAGATGAATAATTTATTTAAATTAGCCATGGCTTCCAAGACTGTTTTCAGATTTTTGTTTCTGGGTGGGTTGTTTCTTTTTTTGGGGGGGGGGGTCCAAATGCAAGTAGTAACTGCGAGAGAAATAGATTCATCAGATTCTTTTCACATATCAAAAATTCCATCCATATTACATTGTACTATAGTATGACTAATGAGTCAATATAAAATATAAAATGGAGCAAGAAAGAGACAGAAGGTAGTACAATTTTGGTTGTGACTAGAAGCAGCAAAATTCTAACTATTACTTCGTTTCATAAATTTGAACTTTGTACCCCCTTAGTTAAAAGTGGCAGAATTTTAAATTGGGCTTCATGAGTAGTCTGAAAAAATAGAAACCAATGTTGCAATGAAATGGCTGGGCATGCACATGGGATTGAAGCAGCTTGCAAAGCTGCCATGAGGTTTTTAAAAAGAAGGAGCTGCTTTATCAGCTCAGAAGGAGAACTTTCCTGTACATTTCCATGAATTAAGTGAATGAAATCTAGCCTTGGTGGAACAAAAGACTACCAAACTGGTAGAAAACATGCGCATGGGTTTTAGGTAGAAATCAATTGTGGTGAGTTATAATTAACTTAGCTTTGAAATGTTATGAGTACAAAAAATGGAGGCCAAAATTGAACGGCAAATAACACACATTTTAGAAGCTGTTCATACTCATGTTTGCTCTGACATGATGCCCATTGATTTCCCTGGCATCTGTTTTTTAACATATGTCCATAGGGTTGCAGCCCTAAATAGTCTCATGTGAGCATTGATGCATAAGTGAATGTCAAGTAGTCTGCAGTATTATGTTTCATTCCCACTTTTTAAACAGAAAAATTATAGTAATCTAGTCCATATCTGTCTCATTAGACACATTCATTTATATTTTTTATATGCGGGAATATTTGATTCTCTGAACTTGAGTAAGGCTGCTTATGTAAAATTGAAATAATGTCAGGTTTTTGAGCAATTCTCTAAAATAGCTCAATCTGCTAGGAGAATCTTTATAACGTATTGGTTTCTTGCCTACTTCAACATAAAAGGAATCAGATCTTTCTTAGGAAAATAAGTCTTGATCCCAAACTTTGTGCAAAGGGCAATAGATCATGAATAATAAACATGAAGAATGTAAAAAAGTGTTTATTATTCTTCTAACTAGAGGAAAAAATAGCTGGTGATGTGGGGGGAATTCCATGATTAGTCTTGTTATAGAAAAGAACTGGGGCGTGTGAGGGATGGGGCAGGGATGGAGAATTTTAAATTCTCCAGATTCTGTTAAATTCCATTTTGCTTTAACAGGGATCAGAGATGGTGGAAGTTGTAGTCTGTTACCTTCTGGATCACCATAATAACAATAGCAATAAAAACCACCTTCTGGAGGAGCACAAATTTCTTACCTGTACCCTAGGCTCAAATACAAAGTTGTGATGGCGTTCTAAATAATAGGTAGGAGTAGAGCTCCCATGGCCAAGCTGAAAGCCCAGACCAGGGGTAGGCAACCTTGGCCCAGACCAAACTACTGGTCTCCAGCAATACAACTTGCATCTTGGTAACAGCTGGACAAGTTGTATGGACAGGTACCAGTGGTGCTTGTTTCTGGCACATATCTATTTTACTTGCCTTTATGAAGTTTCCTTACTATAATTTCAATTTGGTTTTCTAGGTAGGAAATACTCATTTGGTATTATTTTCCTAAGGTGTGCTTCCCAGAGACATGTAAACTGGGGCAGTTTATAAACACTGCAAATAAATAAAGTAGCTTTTTAAAATGTTTTCTTGTTTACCATGTGCAGCATATGACACATGTGAATGAGGACCATTTTATGTTTTGGTGTGTACATACACCCTTGCTAAATTTGCCAAGGAACAGTTGTGGACAGCTCTTTTCTCATGTGATGAGATGTGGACCAGCAAGTGCCTGGTGAATGAATAAATTGAACAAAAGAATGCTTCTTGGTTTGCCATATGCCCAACCACAGATCATCATCTAAATCAAGAACATGAATCCTTAGCAAGGTGACCTATGGCATAGCTGCTATATATGGAAAATGGCCATTCTTAAGCAGTGGGAAACCCATATAATGAGAAAACCTTTATTTTCTTTTGACTTCCTATAACCTTTGAATTCCTAGCAAATAAACCTGTGCTTATATACTAGGTGATTATACACACATTGCTAGTTCTTCTATTATTTAGAATGTGGAATGAAGTTTAAAGGTCTGTTTGGTTTTCTAATTGAACCTGCGTGCCTGCTTCTTCAACCTTAAAGTTGCTTGTTCCTTGTTCCCAGGCGAGATACAGCTTAGCGGTTTGCATATAGATGCTTTGATAGAAGCTGGTGTGAAAGCCAAAGATATAGCTGTCATTGCTCCTTACAATCTTCAGGTTAGTGCATCCACTGCCATATACTAAGAAACATGTCATATTGAATAAAAATTGAAAGCTAAGTACAAAACAATAGAAGGAAATATGCTAGCATTGATGATATTATCTAGTTTGGTAATGAAATGTCTGAAAGAAAAGCACCAAGCTCAGAGAGCACCAGTGATCCCACAATAAGCACAAAAGAAAATGAAACTGATTTGGATCTTGAGGGACCGAATTTACGTTCATTAACATTAAATAAGTTCAGTGAGGTAGAGGCAGAACTTTATTCTATTTTCTTGATCTCTATGGACTTAAATTTTCTGTGAGCTGTTTGGTGTAGACCTAGCAATTGCTTCCAGCATCTACTGGTCTACAGTAGATTAGGACGATCCCCATTCCACTCTCCGGGCTGTAGGTCATATAGAAATAGTGTGTTAGACAAGAATGAACATCAGATGTAGCTTTTTGTTCCTTTTTGTAGCAGTCTGCCTTCCCATATATTAGATGCTTAATTTCTAATTGTTTACTTTTGGAAGGAGAGGACTTTTTCAGTAAAACGGCATTCATTTCCTGTGCCAATAAGTGCTTTGTTTTTCAGGTGGACATGCTAAGAAAACATCTGTGTCATAAATATCCAGAGCTGGAGATTAAATCAGTGGATGGCTTCCAAGGAAGAGAAAAGGAGGCAGTTGTCCTTTCTTTTGTAAGATCCAATAGAAAAGGTAAATCGATCATAACCTGGAGCAATGCGAAATGAAAGCAAGGAATTTACAAGAAGCACTGATGCTACTGCATGTTGCTGTGGTTGTGACTGATTCATGATTCTGGCTGGGGAATTAAAAAGAACATTATGATATCCTGTAATTCTTTTAAAAAAGAGACCAGAATGGTGAATAGTAAGAAAATGATAAAATAATTTGAATCAACCGTTTGGTAATTATGGTGACTGTCGTTCAGTTTAAAATTCTATCATGCAGCCATATGAATCATAACTATTCAGGTGACTGTGAATGTAACTCAAAAGATGTTTCTAAAGTTTGTAAATATTTTTCTTCTTTCCCATTATAAGACATGGGGCATGATATGGAGAGGGATTTCTTCTCTGCTTCATATGGTTGCTGGAGAGAAAAATTGCTTTCCTGTTTATGGATTAAAATAGATAAGCAAGTTATGGTTCATTGTTGTCTATGTATTATGTCTTCTAATATGGTTTTGACACTTGGTAATTACTTCCCAGGTTAGGCTTCTCAAGCACAAATTGGTGACTCACATATTTTAATGTGCCCTTTAATGTTTATTTTTCTATTTGTCTTCTGCCTAGCTCCTTATACAGGACTCAACCCCATCGGTTAAGTAGCTGAGCTGACTCATCTTGGCATTTGCTATATGTTATTATAAAGTCTAAAAAAAACTGGAGATCAGAAATAACTTCTAGAAAAGGCTTTGTCATTTCTAACTATTTATTCAATCTTGGATGCTGCTTTTTTTAAAGATTATGCTAAATATTTTTCTGACCTTTATCAGACTAATAATTAGAAATGAGCAAAATGCATTTGCAATACTTCAAGAAAGCTTCCTCTTGTTAATTATATCTGCTTGTCAGATATAGCTCCAGTCTCAGAGCAGTTCTATTGTGGACAAAAACTTTATAAAGCCTATTTAATCAACATGGACAGTCCATATGCTTTTCCTCCCAATTGTGAAACAAAATGAGCACTTGAACATCTTTCTGAAGTCACATCAAGTGCTAAAAATTCTTATTTTTCTAGCTCCTGGCTGTTTATTGAATTTTGCTTTCCTTATTTAAAAGTAAAATGGATTGAAACTGGATTTCTCAGCAACATGTATTAAAATAATATTGCAACCTATCCAAAGCTTCAGTGTTCCTTGGGCCTTCCACACTAGACTATTGACTAAAGATCTGCCTTTCTGAAAATTAATGACTTTAAAAGTAAATTTGAAGCAGATTGATAAACTGTGTTCACCTTGAAATGAAAACAAGCCTGAATTTAAGCATTTCTCCTCTCCCTTACTTTTACTTTTCAAAAAACTAGGGAGGGCCTTCTGAGATCTTTTGAAGATCCCTTTTTCCTTCAGTGGGCTGAGATACCTGAAGCATGATGGTTGTCTAGACTAAGCTTTTCCTTCTGTCCCTAAGGTCATTTCCAGATATCATTGCTCTACAAGCCAAGTTGTCACTCCGTCAAAATGGTGTCCATAAACACTGTCATGTGAATCTGATCTTTATCCTACACTGGATTTTGATTATGAGGCTTGGCTACATATGTTTTGTAGTCTGTCACCATGAGCATTCAGTTTGAAATTAGGCCCAGGCAAAATGATATTGCCATCTCAGATCTCATAGTTTTATGATAATGATAATAAAGAAGTTATATCATACAGTATGACTGTTGAAATCTTCATGGGATCTGCTTGTGCAGGTTCTTGTTGCTGAAAATGTGTTTGGATTTGTTTGTAAGTAACTTGTGCCTGCACTCTGTTCATGTGTTGAATCCATTTTGGAAACGTCATTCTTGGGTAATAGTTTAGATAATTATAGAAAGAAGCAATCTACTTCACTGAATCCCACGGAGTTCAGTCTAACTTGCTTCTGAGGAAATATGCTTGCAATAAAATGGCTTCTATTATCATTACTTTACATGGTCTGTCAAAGCTCTGCATCCTGACTTACTGTTTTTATGATGTGTAGGTGAAGTGGGATTCCTCGCTGAAGACAGGAGAATAAATGTTGCAATTACCCGTGCCCGGCGTCATGTGGCTGTAATCTGTGACTCTCGCACCGTTAGCAACCATAGTTTTCTTAAACGGCTGGTAGAGTATATGAGCACCCACGGTGAAGTGCGCACAGCCTTTGAATACCTGGATGACATTGTACCTGGAAACTACGCTTCCAAGAGTTCTATGGGTCTCCGTGACCAGGAAAAGAGACTTAAATGCAGCACTTCCCCAGTCCCAAAGGCTCTTGGAGAGAAACCAAAAGGAAGACCTGTCCAAAAACCTAGAGAGAGGCTAACAGAACGTTCCTTGGAAAGCACGGACAAAGTCACACCATCAGAAACCAAAGAGGATGAAAGCTCATTTAAACATAAAGCAAGAATATTGGAGTTTCTGGATAGCGGTGAGGTCCAACTGGATTTCCCTTCCTCTTTAAATGCTCACGATAGAATGCTTATTCATCAGCTGGCTGAAGAATTCGGGCTGCAGCACATGAGCACAGGAGAAGGCAGCGCACGATACATAAGCATTTGTAAGAAAGATTCTCCCGCAGAATTATCTTTAGGAGATACTGTGGTTTGTCAGCATGAATTAATTCAGAGCTGCCCAAAAGAAATTGATGCAGGCAATGAGGAAAGGGAAAGCGGTGCTGGCCCAGGGGCCACAGATCTGAAAACGTTGCATGTGGAACGGATGCAAAGGGAGAGAGCCAAGAAAGAAGAGAGAGTGAAACAAAACCNGATTCTCCCGCAGAATTATCTTTAGGAGATACTGTGGTTTGTCAGCATGAATTAATTCAGAGCTGCCCAAAAGAAATTGATGCAGGCAATGAGGAAAGGGAAAGCGGTGCTGGCCCAGGGGCCACAGATCTGAAAACGTTGCATGTGGAACGGATGCAAAGGGAGAGAGCCAAGAAAGAAGAGAGAGTGAAACAAAACCGAGAATCCAATGTAAATCTTCAGGAAATAATTGGGAAGAAAGAAAAAAATGGAGGTAAAGAAGCCCTTTTCTTCCATTTGCAGTTTAAAATATACCCCTTGCATTCTTCTTTAATCTGCTGTTTATTCTGTTTTTCTTTGTAATCCCTGCATGGATTCTCTCCTGATAAAGGGAGCGTATCCTTTGAGGAGCTTAGGGGAAATTTTAACTAAAACACAGCCAATTCTCTGCTTTAAATATTTATACTGTGCTTACAGAAGGAGTTGCTAGAAGCAGGCTTACTTGTAAAACACAACTACTTGTGAGAGCAACCAATAATTTCAGATCTAGGAAGCGCATGATCCACAAATAGGGTTGTTGTTGTTGTTGTTTTGGAAAATGTCAGCCAAATATTTGTCCTGGCTTTTGGAAATATACGGATTTTATCCCCAAATCAGCATCTCTGAAATTATCAGAATAGACGACCTAGGGCACAACATGGGCTTGCTTTGTGCAGTTGGATTATTGCTTAGAACATTTTGAGGAGACAAAGTGCAGCTCCTTAGCTGACAACTAGCTGAGCCAGAGTACATTAATATCTTCTAACATACCCTAATTCTCTTTCTCGGACCTTTATGTTCACATAGAGCAGTGGTTCTCAACCTATGGGTCGCGACCCCATTTGGGGTCGATCGACCATTTCACAGGGGTCACCAAGCAAGGCTGTCCGCCATTTTTTTCCCTTTTCCGGTGGGTGCCTTACCTCCCTTGAGCTGGGCCAGCTGGTGGTCGGCCTGCTCCGTCTCTGCCACTTGCCAGCTACGCCTCGGCCGGCGCAGGGAGCGGAACCACGCATGCGTGGCGCTCCCGGGCAGGGAAAGTCCTCGACTTACGACCGGCTGGGTAGTCCTCGACTTACGACCGGTTTAGTCCTCGACTTACGACCGGTTTAGTCCTCGACTTACGACCGGTTTAGTCCTCGACTTACGACCGGTTGGGGGGGTCGCGGCATTAAAAAGGTTGAGAACCACTGACATAGAGGCTATACATGAGCTTAACAATACAAATTAAAAAATGGTATCAATAGACAACAAAAACTCTCTTTGCCTTGCTAGGAGAGTGGGTGCGTGCAAGCACCTGAATATTTGCACATACTCTATATGTACCCACTTTCCATGACTGATAATTTTTTGGGGGGGGAATGAAACCACTGAATATGTGCATAGATACCTTCTGAAATTCACATCTTCCTAGATTTCTAAAGAGGAAGAAAATCCCCTCAGGTGCATTGATAAGACTGCTATAAAATACAGAGGCAATAGGATTTCTTGGGCATGGGAATAAACCTATATCCAAGCAGTGTCTTTGATTTTGATCTAAAATCAAGAGCGCAGCCCCTAATTTTTTAATCAGTAAAGTTTTCTGGAGCCTTCTCAAACTATGACGCCCTCCAGATGTATGGCTTTCTACTCTCAGCAGCACTAATCCCTCTTCCTCCTTTAAAGTGTTCTCTAAAAGAGTTTCTAATTTAGTTGGGCAGCTTCAAAGATAGTTCAGCTAGTCTCAGGCAGTTTGTCTTCATATACATAAGCCAATGTCTAAGAACACCAGATATTGCCCAGATCAGATTGAGCTATGAGGATGGTCTGGCCCAAGGGTAGACAACCTTGGCTCTTTTACGACTTGTGGACTTCAACTCCCAGAATTCCTGAGCCAGCATGGCTCAGCTTGGAAACTCTCCCTTTCCCCTCAGCATGGCTGGCTCAGGAATTCTGGGAGTTGAAGTCCACGAGTCATAAAAGAGCCAAGGTTGCCTACCCCTGGTCTGGCCCCTGAAGGGCAGAAGGGTATCTTTGTTTTTAACTGTATTTTATGGATTGCGGTGAGCCACCGAGAGACATTGTCTGAAATAGGAGCCATATAAGTCCTTATAAACAAACAAATAAATAAATCTCATTATCGCTACTCCATTATCATACTTTGCCTACTCTTATTTGCCCACTTTATCTTACTGTTTCCTTTTGAAGGAGAAGTTAGTGCTATCTGTTGGCCATCTGGTTGCCTATTGCCAGTGACCTGCCTGTTTGATACATTGCTGATCCTAAACTCTTGATCAACACAGCTGTGCTTCTTTATGTCTACAATAAAGTTGTTGCGTGCAAACTTTTTGTACCTGCTCTCTTAATTATTTTATGCCCTTATATTTATTTAGGAAAAGCATCTAGTAAACCCAAAAAGGAAATTGCAGCCGAGGAAGATTTTGATGCTATGATCTCTGCCGCAATTAAAGCTGACAACACATGTGGTTTCTCCAAATGCAAAGCCAGCGTAACAACTCTGGGACAACTCTGCCAGCATTGCAACAGACGCTACTGTCTCAGCCACCATATCCCAGAGGTATGCTTTGGTCTCCTCTCAGGCAGACAAAGCACATCCATTTTCTCCCTTCTCCACCCCAGGTTTTCAGAGCCAACATAATTTTCAGGAGAAATTGAGGTGTTATTTTAAAGTATTCAGTGTAGTTGACTTTTCAAGGAAGCTCATAGTAATAAAGGCTGTTCAGTATAGGCAAATCCAGTGGAGGATAACTTTCCCCCATTTATCTTAGCTTGCCATTTAATATATACATGTGCATATACACGCAGACAAATATAAACTTGCGAAAAAAATCTATCTTTAGAAAGGTGGAGACGGGAGTTCTGCCTTATGAAAGTAATGTAGCATAATAAACAGAGAGGGTATAATTCACAAAAGAATTGAAGCTATAGTTGCCTCCAGTTTAATTTCCCAATGACTGGAAATGCATCCCCTGCTGTGCAATAAGGAGGAAAAATGTTGATTTGCAGGGCTGTTTTTGCTCATAGTCTTTAGGTTTTAAAATGTAGTGGGTTGTTTTTTTTGTTCTCCTCTTGGTATTTTAATGGAGTTATTTTTTATGGCGATCCGTACTCTTGAAACATCTTTTTATCTCTTTTTAATATAAAGGATGGTTTTATTTCCTGTTAAAATACACATTCTTTTTCACTCTCGTTCATTCTTTAAATTTATATATACACACATACACATACTACTCTCTCTCTTGATTCTTCGAAATGAATTGGGTGAAGATAATGTGCATCCTTTAATGGCATGACCATTCTAGACCATTAAAAGGCACTTAACCTTGTGGAGCAAGATATCTGTTTTTAATGCTGAAATAATGGGATGTTTCTATGTTCTTTCCATCAAGCTTGTGAGTCATTCTCTCTTTTACTCAAAGCACTTCTTTATTTTAAACTCCCATTCACATTCATTCCCAATACCCAAGTACTTGAAGGAGTCTTGTGCTCTAGAGCAGGGCTTTTCAACCTTTTCACCCATTGTACCACTTTTAGGTTATGGCAACATCCGAGTACCACCAGTCACCTAGCAAGGTGTCAAAAACGTGATTACAAAAAAAAGGAAAAAAGTGATAAAGTAACAGGTAGTCCTCAACTTACAACAGTTTGCGCAGTGACTGTTCGAAGTTACAATGGCACTGAAAAAAGTGCCCCCCAAGGCACAGCCAAGCAAGACAACTGCCTGCCCACCTGGCGGCGCTCTTCCTCCTGTCCGAGGTTTTCATTGTTGTGAGCATTTCTGTTGAGGATTGGCAGCGGGGTGGGGTGGGGGTGTTTGGTTTTTATTCCCCCCTGTCTGCTGGGTGGTTGCAGCAGGTTTTGGTCACTTCACATGACCCTGGGACACTGTGACCGTCATAAATATGAATCAGTTGCCAAGCATCTGAATGTAAATCACAAGACCCTGGAGATGCTGCAACATTCCAGCTGATCGGCGGTTCTTCTGGGCTCAGCAGAAGCGCCAGGGTCAGCGCCAAGCTCCAGCTGGAGCCTGGTGCTGATCCTGGCGCTTCCACTGAGCCCTAACAGTCCCGAAGAAGTGCCGATCCTGATGCTTCCTCTGAGCCCTGACAGCCCTGCAGCTCCAGCCATCTCTCGCTCAGGCTTGTGCGGTGCTGCCACCGGATCAGCTCATTCCCCTCCCCCACTACCACTTTTCTAGGATAGTTGTGTACCACCTGCCTGGTGCCAATGTACCACAGGTGGTACCCGTACCACTGGTTGAAAAGCCCTGCTCTAGAGAGTATAGATGCTTTGCATCTCCTCAAAAGTAGATCTTAATGTTCTTTGTATCCATTCAAGGGGTAGCCATGAGTCTTATATAATGTGGAAATGTTTACTTCTCCAACTCTGTCAGGTCTGTGCACATGTTCTAATCAATGCAGCATTTTAAATCCTGTCTGACAGGAATAATTACATTGATTACTAATAAGGAATGTATTTAGATATCTTCCATTGGGCCTGATGTATTTGAAATAAATGATCATAGGTTCTTTTAATCTCATGGGGAAAATGTTGTATCTACTTACTAGATCATTTTGATCCAAAAGAGAAGTATATACAGAAAAAGGTCTGCATATTTTGGGTCCTCACCAAAACTGAAAAGCAGGCTAAAAAGAGTGATTTTTATGTACTAACTATATTTATTCTAGATCAACTATGAATCTTAAAGCAAGCTTCAGTTGCTTTATCCAATTCATGGATAAAAATATTGGTCTGTAGAGAAACATCCTAAAAGTTTGGATGGGTAGAAATTTGGATTAAAAGATGCACTGTTTATTGAATGCTTTGTTGACAGGCAACTAAATGAAAGACATTGCTATAAGCTAAAATAACAGCAGCAGCAACCCCTGAATAATAGATAGCTCACCACCTTCCTTCATGTGAATAGTTTCATTGCTTTCCTTCATCCCCTATAGGGCTAAGGCACAGAATTAGATAAAATAGCTTTCCCTATTTGGTTCCCTCCAGATATGCTGGACCAAGTTCACAGTCATCTCATGTCTTAAATGTTACTGTTTTAGCATGGTGTGTATGTGGGTGGATATTTCAAGATTTTGTTAACTGCCTCACATATTCAACTGATTAGAAAGATGAAATAGAACTCATACTACTCAATCCATTCAGCACCATGGAGATAACAGGCGTAGTATTTCTGTCTCTTCAATGATACTCCCACTGCTATTCTCATAGTTCCAGTGACTAGATAGAGCCCACATTGCTATGCAGGAAAAAGATATAAAATCTTTCTTATTTCAATCAGTGTGGTACCTGCTTTCATTTAAAGAAGTGTGAACTGTCGATAAAGTGAGATTCACAATGTTGCTGAATGTTACATAGATCAGACTTTTAAAAAAATCTAAAGTTTTGTAAAATTTAATAACAAAAACAATATGTTTTGATTGGCATTTTACCAGTATCAGGCACAAAAAATCAGGAGCCAGGATAGTATTCAAAATCATTACAAGTTTTATTTCATGCTACCTATACATAAAAATCTGATCTACTAATGGTCAACACAAATTGGTGCCAGATAAGACTTCAAGGGGGGTGGAGTTAGGTCTTTTTCTGGGGTGTAGGGACTCCAGATTGATGATATGTTTGACACACACACCCCTCGGGCTCAGCCTGGTCATCTCCTGCAACCAATTTAATATCAACGTATTCTAGTCCCAGTACAGATCATATTATACTTTCCATGTATCTTGTAGTTGACAGAAGACTTAGTATCACTTATGAAACAAATATAATTCCTCCAGATTCTGAAGAATGATGTTTACTATCATATCTCATATGAACTTTATCTTATAGCTAAGCTTACAGCTCAGTGTTACTGACCAGGTCTGACCTGAAGAAGAAAGCTCTTTGAAATATCTAGCCACAAAAGAGTAATTCCTTTTTTTAAACTATAAAATCATTAGTAATTTTAAAAGCATTAGAACAGAACTCTTGATGAAAGCTAGTTTTTTTAAAAAACATATTCATATTGCTTAGTTCAATAATTTTTGTCACACACCCTGAATTTAAATAGGTTTCGTTTGAGGAAAAAGGGAAGATTTAATCTTTTTAGAATTTAAGTCATGGAAAAATTCGTATGGGCCAGGCTAAATGCTTGATCAATTAAGACAGAACTAATAAATGTGAACATTTTAGGTGTATGCTTGGGTTTGATCCAGGGCAATCCCTGTTTAATTTCTGCATTTGCTTCAAATCTTTCACCAGAGTGTTTTATACTTTCTTGTTGCCTTGGATAAAATGTAGAGGTGATATGCTTATTAAAATAAAGCTTTCTGACATAATATAATTACCTGAGTTGATCCACCTTATAATCTTATATTCCAGAAATTCTGCCTGATTCCATCATCACTTACTAGTAATAAAACAGACTTCTATGAAAGCCATTTTCAGTCTTTATTATAACTTTTATTTTATTAAAGTATTTAACTTTTCCCTCCAGGTATTTTCTGCTCATATTTTCTCATAATTTAAGAATTGCTATGCTCAGTCTGCCCCTGGATATACATTATTATTCTTGGCACTTTGCTTCAAACATACTTTTATTTATTCATTCAATTCATGCAATGTATATTGGCTGCCCAACTCTCAAATTGTGATTCTGGATGGCTAACATAAAATGAAAGGAGACAAACAACAGCAACCAATATTAAAACAGCAGAGAATGTAATGCAACTGAAGCCTCACATAGTTATTGTCTTAACCATTGTGAGACAACCTCAACCAATACACTAACTAGGTTTTCAAGGCCTTACCAAATTGGGACGTCTGAATCTCATGGGGTTGCTGTTCCAGAGGTCAGGCCCTGCTCACTGGGTTTGCCAATGGTATCTAGAAATATCTGTTGTTGTATTTATACAGTTGTGTTGCTACTGACTTTCTTCCAATACTCTTCTTTCTATATAATGTTGGAGTTTACAGAATGATAATACAATTTTATTTTTTCAGACCAAAAAACAGAGTTGCCCAGAAGATGGAATAGAGATATCCTGTCCACTTGTAGAGTGTAAAAAGAAAATACTTCAGCTGTCTGAAAAGATGATTTAATTTTACTTTAGCTTCTACTGGGGGGGGGGGAATGATCACATATTATTATTTTTTTGCCTTTGGAATTAAAAGAACTGTCAATAAACAAGTGAACTACTTGTATAGTTCTGTAAAGTTTAGGGCAGATATAGGAAGTTCTTTTACTAATACTTTTTTCTACTGGGTTATCTTGATCTTCTATCTTTATTTCCCACAGGTTCACGGATGTGGGGAGAAAGCCAAAGCAAATGCCCGGCAGAGAATCAGCAAGGAAGGGATTCTCTATCCTGGGAGTGGGGTGAAGGACAAGTCCTTGGATCCCACCAAGAGGGCTCACCTCCAAAGACGCTTGGACCAGAAACTCAACGAACTGTCCAACCAACGAAAGTGTAGAAGGAAAGATCGGGAGAAATAAGAGGATTTGTCGCTTTGGAAAAGAATTAAACCTAACAAGCTGTCCTTTAAAGCTTGTTCACATTTGCAGGAAAAAAAGCTAATAAAAATTTTGACCATTTGGGCTCATTTTTTTCTTTATAACCAGAACATGCCTTTGAATGTCACAGTTCTCAGAGGTCATAGCACTGCTTAAAGTTTCACCCTGAAAACCGTACCTGCAGATTTTGTAAAAGCTGCACCTTATGCTATAAAATATGTTTCTACCTCTCACATCAATGTTCTAAAACCCTGTTGATTAGGGGAGAAAAGCAGTCTGCTTTGGCTTTCAATAATTACTTTTGCTGGCAGCGTTTTAAAATATACAGTGAACAATTAAATAGATAGCTACACAATAAAGAGGGATGTTTGTTTAAGAGCATGAATCAATGATTGAAAGTAACATAGGTATGCAATGTGTTTATGAAAGTGATAGGAAGGTAAAGGATGTGGTAGATCTGGATGAAGGTGAACTGATTGTGGAGTAGAGGTCATGAATATATCTGAGAAAATGAAGATTTAGATTTAATTATGAAAAAAACTAATATATGAGTTGGCATGATCTAGAATATTGGTGTATATGCAAGAGAAATTAATAGTTTGATCATAATTTCTTGATATGCTCCATCAATGCTTATATTGGAAGAGCCAAGGATGAATGAACCTGGGGGAAAACTGCGTGTGACCCGAATCAATCTGAGAAAGTGCAGAAAAAATTAGCCTGCTAGTCGATGAGAATGGATGGGAAAAAGAGGAAAGACTGCAATAAAAGTTAAATGGGCTACTTGGAGACCCAACAATGAATGGGAACTGTTTTGTGACCATTTACTTAGAGGAACTTGTGCTTTAAGTAGTATGTATTTTAATGTGTATTTTTCCGTAGACATCAAAAAACAATCCTTTTGGATGATGGTTTTGATTATTTAGGATCAAAGATTGAGAGGTTTTGTGAAGCATACAAAGATAATAGAAGCTTCTGACTGTGAGAGAGACTATAATAATGTCACAAGTGGTTCTTGGGGGTAAGGGAAAATCCAGTTGGAGAAAAGGAAAATAAATGAGCGGAAGCAGAATGAGTAAGGGAAAAGTACAAATCCTGAATGAAGAATCATTTGTACATTAATTACTCTCTCCAGAGAATTAATAAAAAGTAGACATAAGCAAGGGGATATGGACATTGTTTGGAAAAGAATAACCAGTATAGAGTTATAAATGCTACAGAAATATATGCAGTTACACTAATGAATATTAAAAAGAATGTTTGAATGATAGTGAATGGGGATGAAGGGGGTGAACAAAAAATTGCATATAAGAGAATATTGCTGCAAAAATGCAGATGAACAAAGTATATCTTATGATGTGTATAGACTGAAGAATGTAATACCAAAGAATATGAAACAAAAAGATGAATTGAGGTAGAGGGATTTTCACTGAAGTAAAACATTGTTTTAGAAGTAGGTGAAAAACACTAAACAAGAAGCATCCAGCAGTGAATGAATTAACCAATAGAAGAGAATATATGTAGCTGCAGGTTGAACTGTGGAGTCCTTGGTGCATTCCAAGGTTAGTTGTTTTCTTGCAGACATTTTAGTTATCAAACTGAATGAATTAAAAGTGAAAGTGAGGAACTGAATTGAAATAAACCTAAAGTGAGGAAATATTAAAGTAGGGTTATGGAGATTGTGTGTGTGTGTGTGCGCGCGCGTGTGTGTGTATGAATGGAATTAAAATGAATGTTAGTGGGAAGGGAAGGGAAAAAGAAATGGGCTATAAATGCAGGTGGAATTACTGGAGAGTTTAAAATATGGATGTAGTTTTATTATGGAGTGTCTGTGACGTCTTTAATATGATTCTCTGAAAAGTGCTAAAAAGAAAGGGGACAAAAGTTTTAGTTTGTAAAGTGTCAGTAAAAAGTGTTTGGCAGATTATTGACTGAAAATGTACTGAGGTGATGATGAGCAAAATTAGAGAAGAGTTTTATGCCAGTGAGGTGTAGACCAGATATTTGCTCCTCAGCAATTAACTGATAAATGTATGAATGTGAGATAGACAGTTTATTAAACATTAGTTGATTTAGAGAAACCATATGATGATGTGAATAGGCTTGAATTATGAAGTGTTTTGTATAAAATTATGAAGTTGGTTACTGAATGCCATAAAAGCAGTGTATAATGGAACTGAAATACATGTGGAAATAAATGGTTCAATACTGAGCAAGGGAGTAAGACAAGGATTGTGATGTCCCACTGTTTATTTAATGTATTTATGGATACGTGTATAAGGAAGACTTGTGATACTATTAGAGGCATATTACTGGGGAATGTAAATGTGCATATATATTTTTTTGCCAAAGGCTAAGAACTAGAATGATGTAGGGTTAATAGCGGATATATGATGCAGTAAGAAGTATGAAAATCAATGTAATGAAGAATACAGTAGTATTCATTTTTTTAAAAAGTATGAACAATTGCAAATTAAGTATAAATGATAAAAATCCAGATGAATGGATTTGTGTGCCCTGATAATTTTCTACAGATAGAAAAATGGCTGCAGAAATGTTAAGATGAGCAAATGTTAATAGGAGAGTAGTGTTGGGAGGAATGAATGTTTTTGAAAGAAATTAAAATGGCTGTGACTAAGAAGCTGTTTCTGCCTGCATTGTTATATGGAAGCGGAGTTGTGTATGTCAGGCAAAGCAGAATGCAGTAAGCTGAATGCAGTTGGAATAGGGCAGGGGTAGGCAACCTTGGCTCTTTTATGACTCGTGGACTGCAACTCCCAGAATTCCTGAGCCAGCATGGTTCAGCTTGGAAACTCTCCCTTTCCCCTCAGCATGGCTGGCTCAGGAATTCTGGGAGTTGAAGTCCACGAGTCATAAAAGAGCCAAGGTTGCCTACCCCTGGTCTAGCCCCTGAGGGGTAGAAGGGTATCTTTGTTTTTAACTGTATTTTATGGATTGCAGTGAGCCATCAAGAGGCATTGTCTGAAATAGGAGCCATATAAGTCCTATAAACAAACAAATAAATAAATCTCATTATCGCTACTCCATTATCATACTTTGCCTACTCTTATTTGCCCACTTTATCTTACTGTTTCCTTTTGAAGGAGAAGTTAGTGCTATCTGTTGGCCATCTGGTTGCCTATTGCCAGTGACCTGCCTGTTTGATACATTGCTGATCCTAAACTCTTGATCAACACAGCTGTGCCTCTTTATGTCTACAATAAAGTTGTTGCATGCAAACTTTTTGTACCTGCTCTCTTAATTATATTATGCCCTTAAATTTATTTAGGAAAAGCATCTAGTAAACCCAAAAAGGAAATTGCAGCCGAGGAAGATTTTGATGCTATGATCTCTGCAGCAATTAAAGCTGACAACACATGTGGTTTCTCCAGAATTCCTGAGCATGGCTGGCTCAGGAATTCTGGGAGTTGAAGTCCACGAGTCATAAAAGAGCCAAGGTTGTCTACCCCTGGAATAGGGTATAGTAAAACCAGAATCAGAACTCAATTCTGAGAGAGGGATAAATGAATGTAGATTGAATGCAAAAGTGAGTGACCAATATGAAATAATTAGATTGAAAGTGATTGGATATGTGAATAAATGAATGAAATTAAATGAGGGATTGTGGATTGAATCACAAAACAAACATATGAAGGAAAATTAATCAGTTAATGTAGAAGGGAGTGACTAAAAATGTGGAATGAAATTACTGAGAACCTGAAAAAACAGGTGAAAAATTTAAGGAACAATAGACACTGCATTAATTAATGTGTGTGATAGAAGCAAGGATGGCTTCAAACACTGAAAAGTATAGAGAAGCATTTTTAATAGTTTGGTGTAAACCCATTTAAAGTTATTTATATATATATATATATATATATATGGGAAGAGACAAGAAATTTTTGGAGATAAAAAGGCAAGGGAAGGCATATATATATATATATATATATATATATATATGCCTTCCCTTGCCTTTTTATCTCCAAAAATTTCTTGTCTCTTCCCAGCTTGCCTTGAAGAATACTGCAGTTTGCTTTGAAGATATATAAAGAAGACAAATAGCTTTTCTTTCAAATTGCATAGCCCTTTTTTCTCAGCAAGTCATTAAATAAAATCTCTGAAGCAACATATTTTAATCCACTATTAGAACCCAACTATAAAAGTCCAAATGGGCATTGCGTCTTTTAAGTAGGGGGACTTTGGCAAAACATGCCACATGTAGAGAATATTATTGTGCTTCTTTGATCATTAATAAGTTGTAAAACAAAATTGCACATACTGTAAACATCTACACCCCATTATAATAACAGCATGTTCTTTTGAGCTTGATGGAGGGAAGAGTGGCTGTTCAACATTCCCACATCTGTTACCATTGCTGTCTGGGTTTGATAAAAGTTGGAATTTAGTAATATCTGAATTCATCACAGTTTGTCTTGAAGTTGTTACCCATTTATTGTATTTGTCAAGGCCACCCAACTCCAGAAACTTTGAGCAGCGGTCAATGGAATTTGGAGCAGATCCAGACACACAATAGCTTCTCAGTGCACCAGGAAGAGAAATAAATTGGTGCAGTGAAAGGAAGAATTTGGATCCAGAACTCCAAGATCTTTTTAGAAAATTACTGCAGCATTAGGATAGAGGTGTGATTCTAGCATCTTCCACTACATATATATCCAGCTGCCTCCTGTTGTCAGATACAGTTGCTTGTTTAGCATAGGAGAGGGCAAATTACAGGTGATACCCTCTTAGCATCCCAGGATCACACTGCTAAAATTCAGCAGCAAAATGTAGACCTCGTTCTTTTAGGCTCATCCTTGTGGTGCCTGCAATCTGCTGTAAAACCAAATGTTTGAGTTATTCATCTTTGATCTAATATACAGGTATTTTTCTGACTGGCTGCAGTTCTCAAGGTCTCGAGAAGAAAACTATCCTAGCCTTGCAATTTAATTGGAAATTAGTTGGAATTTAACCATTCTTTTGCAGAAATGTGCTATGGTAGAGGGCTTAACTTGGGGCTAGAGAATCTATAGACTAGATTTTATTTTTCTCAGAGTCCAGTAACATTTGATGCTTTTTGAGATGCTTTGAATGAAAAT